TTCTATAAATTTTAAATAGGAAAATTGATTATTGAGAAATGAGAGTTCCTTAGTAATATATCCAGATGGGTGTCTTTTCCTCTAAAATTTCTCCAGATAAGAAAAATAACTGGAGTGATTGGCCAAACTCTATTTTCCAGAGGGCTCTGCTGAGTGAGGAGGGTCAGGAGCCAGGACTGAGGTGTGAGAGTGAGGTGGCAGGGAGGGGACACGAGGGTTTTGAGTAGTTGCTCTGAAGCCTTAGGAGCAATGAGCAGGTGAGGAGGAACTTTAAGATATTCTGATTCAACTTATGTACCACCTCTTCAAGAAAACATATAGTGAAGATGTGTGTCATTTAGCAGGGTTTTCTGGAACTACATTTGCATTTTATTTGATTCCTCAATAGGCATATTAAATCTCAGGGTAACCGAGCTATGTTAGGGTTACAGTAGAAAGGACTCTTACAGCTCACATTGTGGGAGGAACAAGAGTAATAAAAAGAATGCTTGGTAGAAGGGTTGAGGGCCATGGTCATTTAGAGCCAAGATGTGCAAAAGGGAAGAAAATTAGTAATTAGACAAAAAGCAAAATCACAGGCTTGAGGACATCTAAGTTATGTTTGTTTTGTTCTGCTTGAGTTAGGTACGAAGCTGGGTTTTGAGGAACTTCCATTAAACAGCATTTGTACATGAAGTATTTCTAAGAAAAAGAACACTAATGGTGTTCTTGAGCTTGTTGTATGTTGACAAATCTGCACGCCACAGTTTTAGTTGTCTTTCTACTCTTTGTCTCACCTCCTAACAAACACTTTTGGCCCCTCGTGTCAAATATAAGAGGCATAACTTGAACAAAGAATGAATGTCTCTTTGTTATTAGTGTCATGATCCTTCTCTCTTCCACAGTTATGCAGATGAACTACTCTCCATTAAGAAAGCACACCTCTAACATGTATGTATTTATATGTAAATTGTATGCTTGTACTACTGTACCAACATATAACATTACAAAAATACATAAAAAGACATGAAAGGACAGACTAAAAATACATGTAAGTGGGGTGTGAAGAGAGCAGAGCGCCTGAAGGATGGCTCCTCTGTGTATAACACATCCAACAGCAACCTGGGCTTACTCCTCACGGGTGGCAGGATGCTATGACCTTCCTGTGACATTACGCCCTATACATGAAAAAAATACAACAACAACCATACATAGGGGGTCTGATAACTTTAATTTATTGGTACTTCACAGTTGACTGCTCTACATAACTCAGTTGTTTAGGCACTCAACTTTATTTTGACTTTTCATTTGGACATTTGACACATGTTCCTGACCTTGGAAGAAATTGAAACATAATCTAACTGTTGCCTTATAATCAGAAGTCATGGTGATTTGTTGTGTTTCTAGAAATTATGAACTATGAGCATGAAAGCGGGCAGTCCTAAGAGGATATGCCCTGAAACATGCTTTCTTGAGTGTCAGCTGCTTCCTTATCATTAGCCTTTTGCATATAAAAACAGTGGGGAATAAGGAGCTGTGTCACTTTAGCAATCAGTTATTCACTAATTTCTGTAGCATGAATTACCAAATTCAAGCTTTAAGCAGTTTTTTCTATCATAAAAACCAGCAGCCCTGGCTGAGCTGGCTCAGTTGATTGAGCATCATCCTGTGCACCAAAAGGTTGCTGGTTCAATTCCCTGTCCGGGCACATGCCCCAGTTTGGGGCTTGATCCCTGGCAGGGGGTGTACAGGAAGCAGCCAAGCCATGTTTCACTCTCACATTGATGTTTTTCTGTCTCTCTCCCTCTCCATTCCTCTACAAAATTAATAAAAAAAATACTTTTAAAACAAACAAACAAAACAAAACCCTGGTGTTTGTGTCCTGTTACAAAGCTCAGTGCCCCAGTCCTCTGCCTTTCAGCCTTCCTCCTTGATCCCCTGCTATAGCACTTGGAGTCTCCTGCACCAATGGTTTGAGTGCTTTGGCTAATGCCACCCAAGGATGGACTGTTTGGGTAGGCAAAATAAAGAATCATGTCTCATCTTTGTTTTCTAGCTTTTTCCCAATTCTTTATTTTCTTCACTCTTAAAAATTTTTTTATTGAATTTATTAGGATAACTGGTTATTAAAATTATAAAGATTTTAAGTGTACAATTCTATAATACATTATCTGCATATTGTATTATATATTCACCAGAGGCCCGGTGCACGAATTCGTGCATGTGTGAGATACCTCGGGGTGGCCTGTGGGGATCAGGCCAAAACCCACAGTTCAATGCTGCCTGCAGCTCCTACCTGCCGCTCCCACTCATCCCAGCTCCACTGTGCCTGCCGCGGGCTTGCACCCAGTCAGTCCCGATCAGGAGAGGCTTGCACTGCCTGCAGCAGTGCTCGCCAGCCATAGCCCTGTGTCTGACACCCTCCCCTGGGGAGTGGCCTGCGGGATTAGGCTGAAACCAGTTCTCCGACATCCCTCGAGGGGCCCCGGATTGTGAGAGGGCACAGACCAGGCCGCGGGACCCCACCAGTGCAGGATCGGGGCCAGGGAGGGAGGGACCACGGGAGGGCTCCAGGGCATGTCTGGCCCATCTCGCTCAGTCCTGATAGGCTAGACCCCAGCAGCAAGCTAACCAACCGGTTGGAGCATCTGCCCCCTGATGGTCAGTGCACATCATAGTGACTGGTTGACTAGTCGACTATCTTCCCCCCGTGGTCAGTGTACGTCATAGCAAGTGGTTGAACGACCTTAGTATATCATTAGCATATTATGCTTTGATTGGTTGAACAGTCAACCAGTCACTAGATGACCAGACACTTTGCATATTGGGCTTTTATTATATAGGATTACCCACAGTCAAGGCTCTTCCCCTTACCATTTATCCCCCTTTACCCTCTTCAACTTCCCCTCACCCCGCCCCCCCTTTCCCTCTGGTGATCACCACACTGTTGCCTGTGTCTATGAGGTATCTTGGGGTTTTTTTTGCTTATTCCCTTCACCTTTTCACCCAGTCCCCTAACCCCTCTCCCCTCTGACAGCTGTCAGTAGTTCTCTGTATCTATGAGTCTGTTTATGTTTTGTTCATTTATTTTTGTTTATTAAGTTGCACATATAAGTGAGATCATATGGTATTTGTCTTTCTCTGACCTATTTCACTTAATGTAATACTCTTCAGGTCCATCGATGCTGTCATAAAAGGTAAGATTTCCTTTTTTACAGCTGAATAGTATTCCATAACTTTTCCCCAATTCTTTCTGACAATACCTGAAGTCCAGTTCTGCTTTGGTGATTGTAGTGTGTGTTGCTTATGCAAGTGAAGGTGTGTGAGTTCTCAGTGATAAACAATTGTATTTTTACTCTCATTCTTGACTTTGATTTTACAAAGGGGAGGGAACACCATTTTTGTCCCAGAATATCTTAAGAGCCTTTACTTTTATCAGGAAAAGGGGGGAAAAGTAACATGTGTATAACTTCAAAAGAGGTCTTTTGTAGGTGGTTATCATTTTTAAAGAAAAATCTCTTTGGGTTGGTATGACATTTATCTAGTTAAACTGGAATACTGTCATTCTCCATGAGATATGTCACATGGCCACTATCATATTTCTTTTAAACATCTTGTCATGAAGGGCACATGCAATAACCAGCAGAGTTATTTCAGATATTCTATATCATATTTTCTTTCTAGTATTTGAGGAGTTTAATACAGAACACTTAATTTCTTTCTTTTGGCTTGTTCTGTTATTCTGTCAAAATGAGGTATTTTTAAAGTTATTTTAAGTATTGAGCTTGATAGCATATATTTAGGTGATGGCTTAAAAAGCTAAAGTTTAAAAATACACCATTGTGTATTCCATGGCAGGAATGATACAGTATAGTAATTAAATCATCTGAAAACGCTGAGAATTTTTCATGGACATCTTGAAAGTGCTTTACTCTCCCCAGCCTACCCCTGCCACGTGCTCTCAGGTCTCATCCGCTGACTGATTTGTGATGTGGATAAGGTATGCAGCTAATGGGAAGTGATAAATGTAGAAGGCGAGTTTAATGGAGAAGCTGCTAAATTTATTTTCTTAGACTTGAATGCTCTCTTGGTTTCTCAGTAGAAAGTTCACTGTTCCCAGTAGAGCCCCAGAGGAGCATTTATGTAGCGGAGACAAGGAAGTTTTCTTCTTTGAATTGCTTTTTTCATTTGGTAGGTACCATTCTTTGTAGGGTACCTCCTCTGCTGTCTCAAATACACAACCTCTAAGAGAATTCCTGCCCACTCCCTCATGCTGCCCACATTCTCGTGCGAGATGTTATAGTCTCACATGATGACTTAAGGAAGTGGGCCATGAACTGAGTGAGGCTCAGCAATCTTTGTTAAAATGGGATTTCCCCTGGATTTATAAACAGAGGCAGTGATACAGATCCACTGGCCAGGGGGTGTGGGGGGGACGAGGGGGAGGACTGCTGGGTAGGTCTCTCAGCTCCTATGAGGTCATTTACTATGACCTCAGCAGCTTGAGTCTTAGAAACATGCCAAACAAAACTTAAGCAGGTGATTTCAATCAAGTCAGCTGGCATGCACTCATCCTCAGGTGAGCAGCCAATGGGAACACACATTCTTACAGTGTCATTCCGATTCTTTTTGGATGGGGTGTTTAAAAGATTTAGAACAGTCTACCCAAGGTAGGTGTCTAGAGAATGAAATGAAGTAGTCTGTGCTCTCCAGTTTATAACTGTAACAGGGTAAATGATAATACCTTGCCCTGGCCAGGTGGCTCGGTTGGTTGGTGTGTTGTTCCATACACCAAAAGGTTGCGGGTTTGATCCCCAGTCGGACACATACAAAAGGCAACCTACTGGTCTCTCTCTCTCTCTCTCTCTCTCTCTCTCTCTCTCTCTCTCTCTCTGTCTCTCTCTCTTCCTCTCTAAAATATATAAAAAAACATATCCTCAGGTGAGGATCTTTTTTAAATGATGATACCTTGTATATAGATAGTGCTTAGACTTTCCTGAGTTCTTCCAACGTTTTGAGATAATGTAACTTGCATGTTAGGAAAGTACTTTTACTTTTTCTTCAAACATATTTAAGTATGTACTATAATCAGGAATAATTTCTAATCATTTTAAATTGTCCCTTCCATCCTCCAGATAATTGTTTCCATTCTTAGCAAGGTGGTATTTATGGAGTCATCTATTTGGGGGATACTTAGCTCAGTATTTTACTTTAATTTCAAATATCTCAAGATGCAGATACTCATTAAAAATTAATAGTACATATTCTGTTTCATAGCATATCACATTTTTAAAGTGAATTGTGATTGTTTTGGTTGAAAGATATGTAACTGACAAAATAAGAAGTAATAAGTTTGGCTTTAAGAATGTTTATTTTCTAAGCTTGCTGCTTGTTTATGTTTAAGTTTTGTAGTAGTTCTGGTCCATCAGCACTAAGCTGGGAAGCAAAAGCCCCCTGTTAGTATATATGTATGTGTGTACAATGTTTATATACACATGTATACACATATTTGTACATATACTATAGTTTTATAAGACTGGTTGATAGTTTATTTTTAATAACAAGGCAGTATTGAGAAATGACCTCCAAATGGATCCCATTTGCTAGTTTCAAAAACTCTCCAGATTCCATAGCTTGGTTTCTGTGCTTTCCATTCCTGGACCTTATAGTCTATGTCCTAAGATCCCATGCTAAGGTAGAGATGGTGGAAGGTTAAACTGGTGGAATGCTTATTCTTCCCTTAGTACCTCCAAGACTTAGGACCCCAGGTGTTATCTTACAAGGTGGCATTACTGAAACAATGGCATTCAGTAGCCATACTTGAACCTTAACAATATCCCCAAACATGCATGACTATGGAGCTTTCCTATACTTCCAAGAAAGTATGGGTATCTTAACTGAAATTAAATAAAATTTCAAATTATGTTTTTCACTTACACTAGCCACATTTTAATGGCCTAATAGTTACGTGTGGGTAATGGCTACTGTATTGGAAAGCCCAGATACAGAGCATTTCCATCGTCACAGAACATTCCATTGAACATCGTTGGGACTATATTGACCTGGAAATTCACTCTAACACTGTAGGGAATTGTTTGCTTTTGGAACTCTCTGTTTTGGCATTTTTTTACAGAGTGGTGAAGTAGAATAATCCAAAGAATAGAATATATATCCAAATGTTTTTGCATTTCAGTTTTTTTTCCCCTGTATATCTCTACATTAAATTCTTCCAGCACTGGTATTCTATGATTCCATCATCCACTGTCCAAGTGAGGGTTGCCTTAGAAATTAGCATTCCTGATGCTACTTGTATGTAAAGCTAACCCCTTTTTTATAGCAGCTTCATTGAGACATAATTCATATACCATAACATTTACCTTTTTATTGTTTTATGTATTTAAAAGTTGTATAACAGTTAAAAGGCTCCTGTTCAGCTAGTCTTCAGATGGTTATTCTGGTTGATTTTTCTGTACTTCAGCTGCAGTCTGATATGGTGCTGGGGGGAGGTGAGTGTGAACCTCCTCCCACTTCACCACCATCTCGTTGTCTCACCACTGTCTAAATTCATAACATTTCATCACCCCAGAAAGAAGCTTCATCCCATTAATATCCCCGCCTCCCGTCCCTTAATCTCCTAATCTACTTTGTTTCTCTGGATTTTCCTGTTCTTGACATTTCATATAAATAAAATCACGTAATATGTGGCCTTTTGTGTCTTTTTTTTTTTTCACTTAGCCTAAAGTTTTCAAGGCTCATCTACGTTGTATCACATTTCAATATACTTCATATTTCCTTCCTAGCTTAAATAACATTTCGTTCTATGGGTAGACACTTTGTTTATTCATTCATCAGTTGATGGACATTTGGGTTGTTTCTATTTTTAACTATTACGAATACTCATTCTGTAAATATTCATGTTAAGCTTTTGTGTGAACATATGGTTTCCGTTCCCTTGAGTACATACCAAGAAGTGGAACTGCTGGGTCATATGGTGGTCTGTGTTTACTATTTTAAGGAACTGACTGTGTCATTTTCCATTTCCACCAGCAATGTATGTCCAGTTTCGCCACATCCTCACACCACCTGTTATGGTTTGTGGGTATGACGTGGTATCTCCTTGGGATTGGGTTTTGCTTTTTGCTAATAACTAATGATATTGAGCATCTTTTCATGTGCTTATTAGCCATTTGTGTACCATCTTTAAAGAAATGTCTATTCGAGTCCTTTACCCACTTTAAATTGGATTTTCTTTTTTCCTTTGAATAGTAAGAGTTACTTGTATATGTGGCCTACCTGTGTAGAAGGTATACAAGTCCTTAATCAGATACAGGACTTGTAAGTATTTTCTCTCATTCTGTAGGTTGTCTTCATTTTCTTTGATGATGTCCTTTAAAGCACAAAAGTTTAAAGTTTTATAACATCCCATGCATTTCAATTTTTCTTTTGTTGTTTGTGGTTTTGGTGTCATAGCTAAGAAGTAGTACCTACTTCGAGGCCACAAAGATTTATTCCTATGTTTCCTTCCAAGAATTTTATAGTTCACTAGAGGCCTGGTGCATGAAATTCGTGCAGGGGGCGGGTGTCCCTCAGCCTTGGCCTGCACCCTCTCGCAATATCCCTAGGACATCCCTCTCGCAATCCGCAACTGCTGGCTCCTAACCGCTCACCTGCCTGTTTGCCTGATCGCCCCTAACCCCTCTGCCTGACTGCCTGATCACCCTTAACCACCTCTGCCTGCCTGCCTGATTGCCCCTAACTGCTCCCCTACTGGCCTGATCGCCCCTAACTGCTTCCCTGCTGGCCTGATTGCCCCTAACTGCCTCTACCTCGCCCTACACTCGGAACCCAGG